TAATGTCATGCACTATTTGCACAGCAGTTTATCAAATGCAAAACTTCAGGAAAAAAATACACTTTAATGCATTTTAGTGCACATAAACAGAAAATACCTACTTTTTTGTAAAATATTAAAGATTATGTTATGCAGAGTCAATAAGATACCTAACATGCCATGCTATAAAAATGCATACATCTGTGGTACATTACATTATCTATAGGTGATGCTTTAAAAGCCTTTACAGGTTACCAGTTTAGAGTTAAAACAACTTGATTGCTATCACAAAGGATGAAAAACATCCTTTGTGATAGCTGGGCAGTGACAGGTACTACTGCCCTCATAAGTATCTGATCAAACCAAGATTGGTTTGCACAGATGGCTCAAAAACAACAAACTAAACCTTGAAGTGATGAAATCCTCATTCCTTCCAGTTTCATTCATCACATAGGAGGGGAAGGTATGGATGTACAGTATGTACAGTGCCTTGAAAAAGTATTCATACCTCTTGAAATTTTCCATATTTTGTCATGTGACAACCAAAAACGTAAATGTATTTTATGTGATAAACCAACACAAAATGGCACATAATTGTGAAGTGGAAGGAAAAATGATCAATGGTTTTCAAAATGTTTTACAAATAAATATCCGAAAAGTGTGGTATGCATTTGTATTCAGCCCCCTTTACTCTGATACCCCTAACTAAAATCTGGCGGAATCAATTGCCTTTAGAAGTCACCTAATTAGTAAATAGAGTCCACCTGTGTGTAATTTAATCTCAGTATAAATACAGCTGTTCTGTAAAGCCCTCAGAGTTATGCTAGAGAACTTTAGTGAACAAACAGCATCATGAAGGCCAAGGAACACACCAGACAGGTCAGGGCTAAAGTTGTGGAGAAGCAGGGTTAGGTTGTAAAAAAATATCCCAAGCTTTGAACATCTCACGGAGCACTGTTCAATCCATCATCAGAAAATGGAAAGAGTATGGCACAACTGCAAACCTACCAAGACATAGCTGTCCACCTAAACTGACAGGCCGGGCAAGGAGAGCATTAATCAGAGAAGCAGCCAAGAGGCCCATTGTAACTCTGGAGGAGCTGCAGAGATCCACAGCTCAGGTGGGAGAATCTGTCCACAGGACAACTATTAGTTGTGCACTCCACAAATCTGGCCTTTATGGAAGAGTGGCAAGAAGAAAGCCATTGTTGAAAGAGCCTATATCACCTCTTCTTAACAACTGTAATTTTCCTTGTGCAACAACTCGTCCCCCCCACAGTGCAAAAGTTTTGTATCACGTACCTCTCCTTTTATTTGAAGGCTCTTGAAAGCTGAGCCCTCTAAAGCCTCCTTTTTTGAACTGGTATTGTAACCACACTATCTCTTAAATATTGTATGCAAAAACTGTTGGTACTATATAAACCCCCCCATCTTTTATTTGAAGACTCTTGAAAGCTGAGCCCTCTAAAGCCTTATTTTTTGAACTGGTATTATAGCTACGCTAGCTCCTAAATATTGTATGCAAAAACTGTTGGTACTATATAAACCCCCCACCCTCACCCCAACAGGTTCTGGTCTTGTTGCTGCCCCTGTCAAAGTAATCATGTAACCAGTACAGGACCAGCAGCATGGGACATGGAAGCTGCTAGAGGCAACATCCCACATTTTAGCTTTGAAGATTGGAGGAATGGGATGCTGGCTATTGCAGGCCCACAGTCTGTTTTAGAAACATATTTTTTTTATTAAGCAAGCTACGGCTTATGAATGGAGTTATGGGGTGCAGTATTGTATTATTTTTAATCTGGCCAAAGTTCAGCTTTAAAGTGTATTTCCTCTTTTACAGACAAATTGGGACATTGGGACTTATTTATATTTGTTCCTGTTCACATAGCATAACATAATATTTGTTTTTGTAAGTGCTGCCAACCCGGGTCCGAGTCCTAGGGACCTGATAAATGAGAGTTCTAAAAAGAAGTCAGTTTGTGCTAGTCTTGTGAGATCTTCCAGTGTCAGCCCCAAAACTGTAGTCAATGTGCCCAACCATCTAGAAGCTGGTCTCACTCTTCACCTGGTGCCTTTGATCTTCTCAAACATTATTTCCGTCTCCAGTGATCCCTTCTAACAGGGTGACCAAAAAAGGATAGTTGTAACTTCATCATTTGGGCTTCTAGTGAAATAGTCAGTTTGATCTCTTTCAAAATTTAAATATAGGTTATCTGTCTGTCCATGACACGCATAAAACCCTTCTCCAGCATCAAAGCTCAAATGAGTCGATCTTCTTTCTGTCCGGATTTTGTTGTGTTCAACTTTGACGGCCGTAATTTAAAACTGAGAGGATGAGTGCATGGACGAATCTGATCTTCATTTTGAGTGTAATTTGTTTACCTTTGAATACTTTTTCAATAGTCTTCATTGCGTGGCTACCAATGCTATTCTGCAAAGTAGTTTGTCACTACTAGTTGCTTCCTTGTTTTTGAAGGAGCCCAGGAGATTAAAATGCTTTACAACTTCTATTCTACCGCCATCAAGCTCAAAATCTTCTTAATTTTCTGTGTTCGTGATTTTCGTCTTGGTAATATTCAATTCTAATCCCACGTTTTGACTTTCAGCTTTGATTTTTTTCAGTAAATACAGTATATCTTCTTTGCTGCTGTTGATGAGCATTGTGTCATCTGCACAATGCAGGTTGTTTATATTTTGGTCATCAACTTTGATACTGACAGACTCTTCTTCCAAATTTGCATTTCTGAAGATGGCCTTACCATATAGGTTGAACATAATGCATCCCTGACTGACATCTTGTGTTATTGGAAACCAGTCAGTGTTGCCATATTCAGTTCTCACTGCAGCTTCTTGATTTTTGTAGAGACTCTTGATCAAATGAGTTATGTGTTTAGGTATTCCCATTTGCAACAGAGTCTTCCACAATTTATCATGATCCACGCAAACACTTTGCTGTAGTCAATGAAGCAAAAGTATGCAGTCTTTTGGTATTATTGGCACTTCCCTAATATCCATCCAACATTGGCAACAATGTCTCTTGTTCCCTATAACATAACATCGCTTACCAAAAATATAAAATTGCTGCTTACTCCTTTCTTCTTGCTTAAAAATCCTACCTGGCCTTAGCCTTCTATATACAGTTAAGGAGGAGGCTAGGGAATTATGCTTACCATAATTAACCCTGTCTGTATTGTGCTGGCAGATTTTCAATAATAGATGTGCACATTGTCCTAACAAAGGGTTGGAGAAGTTAAGGCTTGGGTATGCATTATATGTTAATGCACTTAAAAAAACAAAACAAAAAAATTGTTCCAACATCTGCCCCCTAATTGCACACTACGAGCAATTCTGAACAATATCAGCTACCAATACAGTTGTATACACAAACCTGATCCAAAGAAAAGGCAAGATTTTTTTTTTTTATTATTTTTTTTAGGTTTGCTGTGTGTATAGGAACAAATAAGCATTCAATTGAGATTCCTCAAATTTAAGTGTAAAAGTGAAATACACTTTAAAGTGAACATGTGGCTAGATTATTGACATTTATTTCTTACTAATCTCATACTGACCTGTATGCTGCATGGAAAAAAAATCAGATACATTTAAATGTCTATGGAAAGAGCAGAACCAAAAAAATTAAAATTATTGGTATGGTATGGAATTGTAAGAAGCAGCTGGGTGATTCCAACCAATGGTGTCATACAAAAGCTAAAGCTTTAGGTGGACAATGTGTGATCCGACCACTTAAACTTCTATGTCACTGTAACACTGAGTGCAGGTAGGTCATCTCATGTATACTTATATCTGTTCTAGTATGCCCAATAAACATTTAACATACAAATATTTAATAGTTTATATTTATAAACATTGCAAGGACATGGCATAACATTCAAATAACTGGGAAAATACAGTCTTAAGTTACAGAAAAATAAATTCAGGTAAAAATCCATAACAACATGAAACAACAAAGACACAGGAAGAAGTCCCATTAAATAATACAGAATTTGACAACGCTTACAGGACTCTGTAACTAACGTTATCAAAAGCTTTGTAAACACTATTTTAAACATACAATTTATAAACTGTGATCTGCATCACATTAAGGAAGCAGTAAATTACTGTAATATGTACATACTTTTAAAAGAAATAAAGACTTGGTGCAGGGCCTTTTTTTGGACCAGTCCTTTTTAAAGTAAGTTACTCTATTTGCCAAAAAGGTTATGAGATCTTGAGAGCCTATTTTCATGAAAAGAGCTGGCCTATCTACTCTCTTGCCTGACACCAATTTAAGTGGAACATCAAACAGCTATATTCATATGTTGTTTTACCTAAACGATTTGTAATTTTGGCATTCTAGTCATACACATGCCTCTGGTAGTCAGGAAAATCATTCTGCTAGTTACAGCTCTTTCAAAAAAGCAGCCAAGGGGCTGTTCCCTGACAGGTGATACAGAACTGACCATGAGTCAGGTCTGTTCCTTCTATAAACAGGGGTAGCTCTGAGAAAAAAAAAATAAAATAAAGAAAACATTCCTTAAGCAAATTTGGAGTCACTAGGTATGCTTATTATTGTAAGACTGTATGTAATCTTCAAGTAACTATACATAATTGTGAACCATGATATTTAAATGTCTTACATGTAAAGATATACTGTACCATCTATAGCTTCATCACACATTTCTAGTTCTTTTGATTTTGTAAAATTTTGAAGACAGTCCAACAAATCAACAGGATCATTTAAGGGTAGCCAGTGTTACTGTAAAACCGGCAGTACAGTTCTGGCCTTTGGCATTTGAAGAGGAGAACTGCCTTTTATTATATATATATATAAAAATATAATATACCAACTACTGAATGGCAGACAGTACAGTAATAAAATAAACTTTGATGAAAAAACAAACAACATTCTCCCTACTGGAAAAGTGCATGGTAGTGCACAAGTTTGGCAGCAATGGCATGTACGTTTGTACTTGGTGTGTTATGCACAATGAGCCTTGTACAATGAATATCTGGTCACATTATTCCTTTATAGGAACTGAGGAACATGAGGCCATGGTGCGTAGGAAAGTGAACAGCACTTGCACATTGAAACCAGGGTTCTGCAACAAAGATTCTGGAACAGACTGTAAAAAATCACTCAAATTATGCATAGTAGCTACAGCCTCAATATAGCACTCTACCATAGAGTTACTGAATGAGGAAGGTGTTTTTTTTAGTATAACTGAACAATAAAGCAGAATTAGGGCAAATTATCTTGGCAGTACCAAGATCTGAAGGCAGGCCATAAAGACAAATGAAATTGAATAACATTCTTGTTAGGAGAAAGGCGCCAAACTCTAGTTTATGGCCTTCAGATTTTAAAACAGCCTTATTGTGAAACTCCTCAATCGTTTCCTCCACCTGGACGATTTCAAAAAGTTCATTTTTCAGATGTGGTGAATAGACATAATCCAATGGAAAGTTCCCAAAACAATCAATCTGCTGCAAAAGTACTGGTCCTGAAAAGAAAATGTATTGAAGATAATTACATAATGGGGTTCTATTTTATGACAACAATCCTGCACATTTTACAAAATCTAGTATACCAAATCAACCTGAATTATTTTGTTTACTCTTAAACTTTAAAGAAGCCCAGCAATATCACATGTTCTGACACTCAATATGACTTTGGCTTATAGTCTGTAACCGCATTTTCAGGAACTATGCACTGTTCTTACCTTTAGGTTCATTAAATAAGCCAACAAGCAATGTGTATACAACAGTAACCCATGACTGACAAGCATAAAGATACGTCTAACAATAGGAGGTTAGGACCAGTTGTGATCCTCATCCGAAAATTGTAAGCAACCCATGCACAGCCCTTACAGTATAGAACCTAATAATTGTAAACAATGATCAAGAGGGGGATTGGTTGCTTTTATCAGAATTCCTATATTTAGCTTACAACTGGTTTTCCATTATGCTTTAGCCAAACAGAAACCTTTAAATACAGGTGATGATGTTTTACACGCACTTTTCTGACCTCACTTCAGTACTTCAGTTCACACCACTACAGCTTTTAAATTGCGCTACTTAAGCACGATTTCAAAATTGCAGATTAGTGTGGTTTGGATGTTTGATTTCGTTGTAGCTTGCAACTTAATTTAACAGAAGTCAATGCAAGTCACAATGAAATCACAGAAAAGTGGTGCAGGAACCTTTTTCAAAGTCGCTGCAACTAGAGTTGCAATGATTTGAACGGTTCCATTGCTGAAAATGAGGTGTGACTTGTCATGCATTTTGAATTGTCAAATCGCATTGGTGTAAACCAGCAATTACAGTCACCTATTTGGAACATGCATGCAGCCAGTGATGCCAGAGCAAAGTCAAAAATCCTTATTTGCATACTTTTCTGTGTCAATGCATGACAGCTGGCATGTTCAGAAGAAAAGGTCTGAGATGTAAGGCTATGTACACTATATTGCCAAAAGTATTGGGACACCCCTCTAAATCATTGGATTCATGTGTTCCAACAACCTCCTTGGCCACAGGTGTATAAAATCATGTACCTAGGCATGCAGACTGTTTATTCAAACATTTGTGAAAGACTGGGTCGCTCTCAGGAGCTCAGTGCATTCAAGCATGGTACCGTGATAGGTTGCCACCTGTGCAATAAGTCCATAAGTGAAATTTCCTTGCTACTAAATATTCCACAGTAAACGGTTAGTGGTGGTATAACAAAGTGGAAGCAAATGGAAACAACAGCAACTCAGCCACTAAGTGGTAGGCCACCTAAAATGACAGAGTGGGGTCAGTGCATGCTGAAGCACACGGTGCGCAGAAGTTGCCAACTGTCTGCAGGAGTCAATAGCTTAAGGCCTCCAAACATCCTGAGGCCTTCAGCAGTGTGTAGAGAGCTTCATTGAATGGGTTTCCATGGCCGAGCAGCTGCATCCAAGCCTTACATCACCAAGTGCATCGCAAAGAGTTGGATGTAGTGGTGTAAAGCACGCTACTACTGAACTCTAGAGCAGTGGAGACGTGTTCTCTGGAGTGATGAATCATGCTTCTCTGTCTGGCAATCCGATGGGTGTATCTGGGTTTGGCGGTTGCCAGAAGAATGGTACTTGCCTGATTGCATTGTGAAAAGTGTAAAGTTTGGTGGAAGGGGGATTATGATGTAGGGTTGTTTTTCAGGGGTTGGGCTTGGCCTTTTAGTTCCAGTGAAGGAAACTCTTACGGCGCCAGCATACCAAGACATTTTAGACAATTTAATGCTTCCAACTTTGTGGGAACAGTTTGGAAATGGCCCCTTCCTGTTCCAACAAGACTGCGCATCAGTGCACAAAGCAAGGTTCATAAAGATAAGGATGAGCGAGTTTGAGGTGGAGGAACTTGATTGTCCTGACCTCAACCCGACAGAACACCTTTGGATGAATTAAAGTGGAGACTGCGAGCCAGGCCTTCTCGTCCGAGATCGGTGCCCGACTTCACAAATGCGCTTCTGGAAGAATGGTCAAACATTCCCATAGACACACTCCTAAACCTTGTGACCAGCCTTCCCAGAAGAATTGAAGCTGTTATAGCTGCAAAGGGTGGGCCAACTCAATATTGAAACCTACAGACTAAGACTGGGATGCCATTAAAGTTCATGTGCTTGTAAAGACAGGCGTACCAATACTTTTGGCACTATAGTGTATGTCAGAACAGGTTTCCTTTGAGCATATCAAATCATAGCTCTCTGTAGACTTAAAGTGATAGTAAAGTTTATTTTTTTATTAAAATAATAAACATGCTATACTTACCTGTTCTGTGCAATGGAATTGCACAGAGAGGCCCCAAACCTCGTCTTCTTGGGTCCCCTGCCGAATCTCTGGGCTCCTTTGGTGGTGTACCTGCATGCTCGCTTCTGAGCCAGGCTGTTTGTGTCTATTGGCACACAAAGAGCATCTCATCCCTGCCCCTCATTCTCTGCTCAGAGAATCTGTAGTACAGGAACCTTTGACAGCAGCAGGAATTACTGTAACCCTCACAATGTATAAATTTTTTAAAAGCAGATACCCTGGAGAACATAATGGTGGTAGTTGCAATTTTTTATGTTGCAAGATATTTGCGCAGTTATTTATCAAACACATATTTTAATGAAAAAAAACCCAACTAAAATGAATCTTAATGCCATCAAACACAATATTATATCCAATCTTTTCGTAAAATATAAAAGATTGGGTTGCATCAAATAAATAGATACCAAACATTTTGATTCTTAGGCCCTATTCACACCTTAGCACATCAGAATTGTGCTAAAATCAAGGCAAAACGTACAATGTGTATTTCTGTGCCATTCATTCTTAATGGCACCCCAAATGCACTAAGAAAGCATGCCAAATCAAAAACATGTCAAAGAAAAAAACCATAAAAAAGGTACAGGAGGCACCTTGCCATGTTTTTGAAGCGAAGGTTAGCCCATTCATTTGAACTGTGTCATTGCATTGTATTTTTTACATTTAGTGCAGAGGTCCTTTGGGATGTTAAAGTTTGGACCTAAAGTGATTGTAAAGGTACAGAAAAAATATACACTTATTAAACTACTGGTTCTTATACCCTTTGGTGACTGCAGTGGCTTCGCCCACCTGCACAGCCTTTAAAGTGATACTAGAGGTTCAGATTAAAAAAAGAACAAAAAAACAAACAAACATGTTATATTTACCTACTCTTGTGAAATGATTTTACACAGAGCAGCCTTGATCCTCCCCTTCTCGAGCCCCCCGCTGGTGCTCCTGACCCCACCCCGGCTATGGAGTGCCCCCAGAACAAGTCGCTACGGAGTGCCCCCAGAGCAATGGCTGTTGTATCTGAGCCAAAGAGGAGGGAGAGACACAGGAGAGCTGCACAATGAAGGTTTTTTATATTCATGCATAGCATGCCTAAAAGGTAAAAAAAAAACCTTACACCTTTAGAACCATTTTAAGAGACTAAGCTTACAGAAACTTGTTTGCATCATCTTCACATTTAAACTTATACACGTTAGATGTGTTGAGAGCATTTATTTTTGCCTGTGTCAAAGCTTACTGCATCACAATTACAGACCACTTCAAGTCATGGTAAGGTAACAATGGCACACACCCTGATTACAGCTGACAGTACATACACTGGATACATTGCATGTACAGAAACCATCCATTTAAATAAATAGATTTGCTGAACATATCTCATTCACTCTAACAGTCAGTGTCGTCTTGGCCACTGTGATGAATGCATGATCCATGATGTTTTACTTTAACTGAAAATAGGCCTGTAAGTAGCATTTGTAAAATACAGCCCTGTCTAACTCTATGCAAAATGTGAATACACATACAGTGTGTTTTAATTTTCAGATAATGTGGTCAATAATATTTATTAGCTTCTCTGTAAACTCTATAGACAGTAAACAATATAAGATGTTTTTCAAAGTTTCCAGTCATTCTTCAAAGTTTACAGCTTTGCAGGCTGACGAGCTTAGTTTGAATTGCGTGGATTTGTGATGTATTTTCTTTCCCACTTCAAGATAAAGGTATCTCATTCCTTCCCCCCAACCTCTAATTGATCACCGTAGTAACAAAAAAAGCCCTATGAAAATGCTCCATTTTACTTACCTTAAGCCACGAGACACTGTGGCCCCCAAGCCTGCTCCGTTTCTTTTTGTGATGTTCTGGTCCTTTTAATGGTGTCCATGTATCGGACCATGTGACTTCCTATAGGACATTCAGCGGCAGGGTCCTCTCAGGATCGAGAAGACAACTGATATCAGTGGAGGAGAAAGGAGGAGACCAGCAGTCTGAGGAGGCCATTATAGAGCTGGATTAGCAGTCCCCCTACCCAGAAACAAAGCTAGCAAGGGACCTGGATGATAGACTTATGCAGGTATACCTGGCTTCACAAGGTATGGAAACAAAAAGCTTGAAAGGATTGGGTAGGCTAGGGTGGGTTGGTGGTAGAAATATAGTTTTTGACCAAAGTGAGTCTTAAAACAAACGTGATGAGAGAAATATGTAGGTTGAATTTAATCTTAAAATGCAGGCAGCCTGGCCACAAATGAATTCAGTATCTGAGTCAGTGCGCACAAAGGAGTATGAAACTAGTAGAGGTACAGTTAAAATACAGTTAGACCTCCTGACTGACCCCAGCCACTGAATCAGCATTGTAGCCAAGCAGCTGGCATTTTCAGAAACCGGAAACAACAATGGCAGCCTCTGCCTTAACTCAGAACAGGTTTCCTTTAAAAAAACAAAGAGTGAAAGGTAGAAGTCAGTTATTTTTTTAGTACAGGATTGTCAAAAGCTGTGCACCTGGTTTGGTATCCATTAGCAATATTTTCCTTATGAATTTGAAAAATTTTGAATCCAAGGGGCTATTCAGTGCAGCAGTGTAATGTGCAATAATGATGCGTAATGAAGCAGGAAGACACAGCATTCAGATTTCAGTGTGCAAGAGACAAAATATCTGGTTGGTTGCTATATACTACAGCTTTCTATGAAATTAA